GAATTATATAGAAAAAGCCCCCTACATTTCATGTTTATAGATATCTGCAGTTTTTCTTGCAGAGCTTTTAGTTTACGTTTTAATTGGCAGTAGTCGTACTCTTGGTGAATGCCATGTACCAGCTTGGTTGTTAGTCAGCCCTTGACAGTGTATTTTTCCCTAAAAGCTTACCCTTCCATTTAACTTCAGAGCTGTGCATGCCTTTAAACAAATTTGGTTTTGTTTATAATTTATTGCAAGCAATAGATTTGACTTTTGCTGTGCAAATTTCCTTATCTCTTTTTGTTTTATCCTTGGTAATAAGTATATTTTCTAAGATTTCCAAGATTATGAATATAGATCTTGTAACTAAAATGTTAAAATATTTTATTTTACAATTCTTTTAATTTTGCTGCTCCATGGAATTTAAAAATGGGTAAGGATTTATTTCCACATGATTTTAAAGCTATAACTTGTCTGAGTGCTTTAAAAGTGAGAGAGAAGAAATAAGATTCCATCTAGTTCTCTTTGCCTTCTTCCATGAATCATTGTGTTAAAATGTTATTTTTGTTCAATTTTAGTCCACCTTAAATGTAGATTTTTAGTGACAGGAGAATATGTGTCATTTAACTAAATCCCTGCTCTCATTTTCGATTCCTTATGTGTGGAGTATGAAACCCATGTACAGCCTGTGCCATATTCTGTATTTTGTACAATGTTGTTTTACCTACTTTACTGTTCACTATTACCCTTTAATGTGTCTATCTGTCACTATTACCCTCAAAGTGATTTGAGTTTGCTTTACTTTTGAATTCTTCCCTTTCTGTTCTTGGCATTGCTTCTTTGTAAATATTTCCTTATTAGTGTGATGATGTCTTATAGATTTTTTCCTTTTTTAAAAAACATTTGCCATGCCTCTTAGTGTTTAAACATTTTTGTGGTAGTATTGAAGCATTTTTGTCAAACACAACAATCATCTTCTTGTTCTATAGCATTGAGCAATGGATGTTATAGTTTGTATCTTAATTTTTTTTCTGATTAACTCTCAGTTCTAATCCCATATACATTTCTTATATCCTTTGATGTGTATGTATTTCCACTCCCTTTGATATTTATAGCATGTTTCATTGAGATTCATGATTGATATTGGGAAAAAGAAAAACCACCTTTGCAGAAAGAGCTATTTCAGCAAGCAGGCAGTCATTTCTAGAGGGGTGTCCTAGAGCTCCTTAGGCAAGCCGCAGTCATTCCTGGAGGGGTTCCTGAGCACTGTGGAGAGTAACTCTAACCCTAAACAAAATTTCTGACTCATGAGTAGGGTTCCTGACTCCTCTTCCACAGAGTGAACCAGCTTATGGAGCAAATGCATAGCATTCAGACTCTGATCAATGTCCCTTGTCCAATTCTTTAGCTTTTTTGTACCCTCCTTAAGTAATAATAGTTTAAAAAATATTTTGTGCATTCCAGCAGACATTTTCTGTCTTACGGTTCTTAATAAAGGAAAAAAAAGTATTTTTTGTAATAGAAAGACCAGGACATGAATTTTGCAATCTCTGATTAGAAGTAGCATAGTTTTTTGTATTTGTTATTTTTGCCTGGATGATCTGAGTTGTTTTTTGTTTTTGTTTTTTAAGACTTATTTATTTATTTTAGGGGGAGAGGGGCATAGAGAGAGAATCCCCAAGTACATTCCCTGCTGAGCACCGAGCAGAGGCGGGCTCCATTCCACAGTCCTGAGACCACGACCCACTAGACCAGATTCGGAAACCCAGAGTTGGATGCTCAACAGACTGAGCCACCCACGTGCCCTGATCTGAGCTTTAATTAAGTTATTTTCTCTCTATGAACTCTCCCCTTTTCTACTTTTTGTATTGACTTTCCCAATGCTGTGTTTCTAATGCACCTCCTGAGTCAATGGAGAAAGCTTTGAGTGATGTAGAGAGTTATTAGCACCACTGTCAGCTGTCTTAAAGTTTCACTGTCGCCCCTGCCGCCAGCTTTTGGGGTTTATTTTCAGGCCTTTCTAATGAATTCTGCCCTTCCCTCACAATCCCAAACTATTCATCTTTTCTTCAAGGGAGTCTGTTGTATTACCACTAAGGAAGATGTAGAGGTGACTTTATTAAAACAGGTAATTTACAAAAGATTTGTGAGAGATATAATAGAGGATAGGTATTTTACTTTAAGGATAATTGGAAGCCAGTTAATGCCCAGAGCATCTTTTCATTCTTTTGTGATGACTCTGGTGACTTCCAGATAGCTCTGTTTGCACCTTTCCATCCAGTTTCAGGGCCTAAGAATGAAAGAGCCCTGGAGGCTCAAGTACTGTAGCAGAGGTGGAGGAAGGAGCCCCTTTTCAGTGAAGGTGTTTCTTTCTTTGAAACTGTTAGTCCAGGATCTATTAGCACACATGAAGGTTATAATAAGCCCTTGCAAGTTTCATAGTGTCTATGTACCAATTTTTATAGCATCTAATTGAAAGATCGTATTTCAGAAGCAATATGTGTACATTTATATGTAAACTTGTGCCTAAAATAGGCGTGGAAGGAAGACCATTAGTTAGTTTGTGTCTTATGAAAAAAATTGTGTCCTGGAATTAAAAAGTGAAAAAATTTTGCCTTTCCTTTTCATGAAGAAAACCAGTGCTGCATAATCTGTATTTTATCAATATTTATTATGTTTTTTTTTTTAAAGATTTTATTTATTTATTTGACAGAGAGAGACACAGCAAGAGAGGGAACACAAGCAGGGGGAGTGGGAGAGGGAGAAGCAGGCTTCCTGCAGAGCAGGGAGCCCGATGCAGGGCTCGATCCCAGGACGTTGGGACCATGACCTGAGCCGAAGGCAGCCGCTTAACCAACTGAGCCACCCAGGCGAATATTTATTATGTTTTAAAAAACTTTTAATAATGATGGTATATACATCCTATTTTAAAGACCATTTATTTTATTTGTTATTGCTAAATTTGGGGGACTGTGGAATTTTTTTCAATTTAAGTGTTGAATTAAAAATGTAACCTTTTATAAATATGTGGCCAAAAGTGTTGTTAATTTTAGAGTGTGGACAGAAATTTTATTAATCTGAAGTGTATTTAGATTTAATTCTTTTTGGCTTCTTTAGAAAATTGGATCATTTAAAAAAACTACAAATAAATAACTGGATTTTAATTTGATAATCAGGAAGACACAGAGACCTTATACAAGTTTGTTCTATTTGTTTTTTGATTTTATATTGTAAAAATTCTCCCAGTGCAATATTTGTCAGAAAATATTATTCTAGTCATCATTTGTATAGCTTTGTTTTAATTATATTAAATGTAAAATCAGAAAAAATATGTAATATTTGTTATTTTCTGGGGAAAAAGACAAACTTGGCAATGTTGAAAGAGTGGGTTGTTTGCAAAACACAATTATAGAGTCAGAGTCTGAGGGCCTTAAAGGAAGGAATTCCTTTTCCAGCATTTCTTTTTTCTTTTTTTTTTTTAAGATTTTATTTATTTATTTGACAGAGAGAGAGTGATCACAAGCAGGCAGGCAGAGGGAGAGGGAGAAGCAGGCTTCCTGCTGAGCATGGGGCCCAATGTGGGGCTCCTGGGATCATGACCTGAGCCAAAGGCAGACGCTTAACCGACTGAGCGACCCAGGCGCCCCTCCAGCATTTCTTAATATATATATAATATATATATTTCTTAAGATCCAGCCCCTGCTTCCAGTTACAGCACAGAGGTGGAAATTCCAGTAGTTTGCAGAGTGGTTTACTGGGAAACTATGGGGATTTACCAAATAACTTCCTTTGGGGGAAGTATTTAATGATGTCAGTAATACCAGAAGAGGACTTCTCAGGGTAAGACTCCCTGGAAGAGGCGGCAGTTGAGAAGAGGTATAGACTAATGTAGCTGGACCTAACCTTGTAGATCTCTTACTTGTTAGAACTGTGGCTCAGAAACTGTGACTTTGTGAAGGTCCCTCAGCTAGTTGGTCTCAGTGTGGGCACCCTGCCCACCTCCCAGTTCTATGCTCTTTCCCCTCTGCATGCTGTTTTGCAGATAGGTGAGAATGTAAACATTTGCTTAGTTACTGACAGTACCACTATGTCTTCATTCACATACTGCCTGATCCTGTAATTCTTAGTATGTGTGCTGCCCAAGCAAGCACTGATCCTGTAATTCTTAAAACAGCCCTGCAGGGTTGTTACCATCTCAGTTTTAGAGAAGCGGAAACTGAGGTAACTTGCCCACTGTCCCACAGTCAGTGATGATACAGCTGGAACTTGGGTCTTGAGTCCAGGTCTGCCTGTGATTTTCTATAGATTACATACATTGTTTTTAATGATGTGAGGAAAAAATTAAGTAGGATCAGCAAGACTACTGGAATGCAAGATGCTGGGGCAATAAGTATGTGCATTTATTATAGCACTGCTTCTTGTGTTTTGAACTTTGTAGTTAAAACTGATTTAAAAACTGGTCTGGAGGGGCGCCTGCGTGGCTCAGTCCGTTAAATGTCTGCCTTCGGCTCAGGTCATGATCCCAGGGTCCTGGGACAGAGCCCCGCATCGGGCTTCCTGCTCAGCGGGAAGCCTGCTTCTCCCTCTCCAGCTCCTCCTGCTTGTGTTCCCTCTCTCACTGTCTCTCTCTCTCTGGCAAATAAATAAAATCTTAAAAAAAAAAAAAAACTGGTCTGGAAGTGGTAAAACGTAACCATCACTGAATGAACATTTTAGGTTTTGCTGGAGGAAGTCAGAAGCCACTTTCTGATTAATAAGGGAAATTAAGGGCTGCCTTTTGATGTTTGACTAAAGCGTTCTGGAGATACAGATGGGCTTTCAGTTTCAGAATGTAAACTTATTTTAAAGATATCTCTATCTCTATATATGTCTCCATATATCTTTAAAGATACATACATAAAGATATCTATATATAGATATATATGGCTATATATATCTATATTTATATATAGACTTTTTTTTTTTTTCTTAAGATTTTATTTATTTGTCAGAGAGAAAGCACAAGCAGGGGGAGCGGCATGCAGGGGTAGCGAGGAGCAGGCTCCCCGCGGAGCAGGGAGCCCCATACGGGGCTCTATCACAGGACCCCAGGATCATGACTTGAGCCGAAGGCAGACATTTAACTGACTAAGCCACCCAGGCGCCCTATATATAGTTTTTGTTTGTTTGTTTGTTTGTTTGTTTGTTTTTAAGAGAGAGGATGGCGTCGGCTCAGGATGAGGGGAGGGGCAGAGGGAGACGGAATCTCGGACTCCCCGCTCAGCAGAGAGCCTTGGGGCGCTGATCTCACCACGCTGAGATCGTAACCTAAGCAAAAATCAAGAATGGGCAGCTCAGCTGACGGAGCCACGTGCTGTATGGTGAGAGCAGTGGCCCCGCTCCGCGCAGCGCTCTAGCAAAGCCACCACGGCCCGCGGCGCCTGGGGTAAACCCGCCGCCGGCTCCCGGCCTCAGTTTACAGAGTGACCGTGGCCCAAGGCCCCGCCCCACCTCTGGAAGGCGGCCTCGGTGCTCCGCCTTTGGCCCCCCCCCCTCCCCCAGCGCGCAGCCTCCTGCCCGCCTCCCGGCGCGCGGCTCCTTCACGCGGTCGGAGGAGTGTGAAGGGACTCCTCTCAACTCCGCCGAATACCAGAGGGGACATAAAGGCCCGGAAGTCCGCTTTGCGGCTCAGGTTAAGTCCCCTCCGTCTCCACACGGACTCAGTGGCGGTTCCTCCCGTGTCACAGCGGCTGCTAGTTGCATCAGGTCGTGCGCGCGGCGCCGGCGTTTTCGGACGCTGGGTCGGGCTCCAGCCGGCCAGGCCCGCGGACCATAGACATGGAGCACTGGTGGCTGCTCCTGCTGCTGTCTAGGCCTCAGCTTCTGGCCCTGTGGCTCTGGCCACCCAGCGCAGGTAGGCCCGCCGCGCCGGAGGAGCGGGTGGGGGCGGGGGAGCGAGGCGGCGGAGGCAGACGGGGAGGGCTGGGTGCGCCGCAGCTCCTCCACCGGGCTCCTGCCGCGGAGCCCCACCTGAAGTCCGCGGCCGCCCGGGGCTCTAGTCTGTGACCGGCGGCTTCGTTTACTCATTGAATTTTTAGTGCCGGCTACTGTGCACCGAGTCGGCGCTTGTAGCAGCCGGAGAGTGGGTGCCTCCTTTGATTTGGTGCCCTGAATGCTCTGTAAATTTCAGAGCCGCTTTTGCGTCACTTTGGATGCTGGAACTGAGAAGAAAAAGGTATGGGTGGGTGGGTGGGTGGAGAGGAGTGGAAGTAAGGAACATACCCTCCCGCGTGCTAGTGAAGGGGAATATTTCGCTTTACTGAAGGCTTTGCTGAAGAGAGTGTGAGGGGAGTGTTTTACCCTTATGGTGACATTCAAACTTTCTCTTTTACTTTTTTTGGGGGGGGCGAGGGGAGGGTGGAACACTGATGGATGTTTCTAATTATCGAACAGGAAACCAAAGGCAGGCACATGAAGAGATGTTTAAACTCATTAGTAATCATAGAAGTTAAAACAGTAAGACATCACTTCACACTTAATAGACTGGACAGAGTTAAGCCGGGCTGTGCCAGTGGTGGTGGCTGGATGGGTGGGGATGTGGGCATTTAGGAGACCCTCGGGGTGTCCATCACTGGGGCTGTGGATGAACCGAACCGAATGTGGATTTGCATATGAAGAACTCGTCATTAACTTCAACCAATGGACTAGCTGTACACATATCAATGAGAGGCTTTGAAACTGTGCCAAGAGCAGAAACAGTAACATGTAACTCCATACCATTTTCATAAGTTTGAGAAACAAAAAAAGGCAGGGTTTTTTTGTTTGTTTTTTTAAAGAAAGACCCTATTGAAGGAGTCACTTTTTTTTTTTTTTAAAGATTTTATTTATTTGTCAGAGAGAGAGAGCACAAGCAGGGGGAGTGGCAGGCAGAGGGAGAAGCAGCCTTCCCGCTGAGCAAGGAGCCTGAGGCAGGACTCGATCCTAGGACCCTGGGATCATGACCTGAGCCACCCAGGTGTCCCACAAAACTAGGCAGTTTTAAAGAGAACAAAAATGGAAGCATTAAACATCTTAGAATGGTTGCCTGTTGGGGGAGGGAGATGGAAATAAAAAAGAATAAATAGTATTTCTATACACTTTCAATGAGTAATCCAGAAATAAAATTAAGAAAATAATTCTATTTATGAAGCCATCAGAAAGAATAAAAAATACTTAGGAATAAGTTTAACAAAAGAAGCATAACATTTTTATTCTGAAAACTATAAAGCTTTTTTTTTTTTAGTTTCATAGTTCCTTTAATAGCAACTGGTAATCAAATTAGGAATGGTTATCTTCAAAAGTTACTACACTAGTCTTGCTGTCATTTCTCAAAAACAATCAGGTATCTAGAGTCATGGACATTTCTCACATAAGATGCATCATATAAATCAGACTTGGTCTATCACCAGCACTGATAAAAGCAGACCTAGGGAAAGAACTAAGTCTGGGGACACATGCATGGTCTTAATACAGTGAATGTTTAGCTTGCTCTGATTATTACAAAATCAAAACAGTGAGAATATTCGAGGTTGAAAAAATTTAAGAGGATCTAAATAAGTGAAATGGAAAAACATCCTGTCTTAAGTCTTTTTAGGCCACCCGAACAAATACCTTAGACTGAGTGGCTTAAACAAAAGAGATTTATTTCTCACAGTTCTGGAGGCTGGGAAGTCCAAGATCTAGGTGCTGACTGATTTGGCTCCTGGAGAGGGGCCTCTTCCTGGCTTGTGGAGGAATACCTTCTTACTGTATCCTCTGGTGCTGAGAGATTTCTCTCTCATGTCTCTTATAAGGACATTAATCCCATTCTTGAGGGCTCCACCCTCATGACCTAATTACCTCCCCAAGGCCCTACCTCCAAATACCATCACACTGAGCATTAGGCCTCAACATAGAATTTTGGAGGGACACAAACATTCAATCCATAGCATATCCCCAAAACAGATTCATGGATTAGAAGACAACGTTGTTAAGATGACAGTACTCCCCAAATTGATTTTCAGATTCAGTGTGATTCCTATTACAATTTCAGTGGACTTTCTATAGAAATTGATAAATTGATTCTAGAATTCCTGTGAAATTGCAAGGGACACAGAATTTTAAACACAATCTTGAAAAAAGAAGAATAAAGTTGAAGGATCTTATGTGGATTAAGGTGGGGACATGAACTAAGGAGCCTCTCTGTACCTGAGACACCCTCTCCCCCACAAAAAAAGGGATTTCTTTCCATTTATGTGGCCACTTTTGAGAGTACCATGCCTGTGTTTTTTCCAAGGGTCTCCCATAACTGAGTTCTCTTATTGCCACAGGTTTTCTGCAAGTGGAGATGGCAGGGGAGACTCAGACGGTGCTTCTGAATGACAATGCCACTATTATCTGCAAAGTCCAGGGTTACCACCACCTGGACATCACAATTATGGGTATCACCTGGTTTTGGAAGCATCGAGTGTCTGCAACAGAAGTTAAAGTGTTTGAGTTTTTTGGAGACCACCAAATGACAGTCCGACCTGGAGCCTGTGTGTCTCCCTGGAGGCTGAAAAGGGGAGATGCCTCGCTGCAGCTGCCAGGGGTCCAGCTGCGGGAAGCAGGAGAGTACCGATGTGAGGTGGTGATCACCCCTCACAAAGCAGTGGGAAGAGTCCAGCTGGAGGTTGTGGGTGAGTGCCTCGGGACAGGGCCCTGTGGTTGCCGTGGTGCTGAGGCTTGAGGTGGAATTGTGGGCCAAACGGAGCAGAGGCTTGGAGCATGGGCCAGTGAGTCAGACAGACATGGGTTTGAGTCCTGGGCTTCCATGGACAGCTGGACAACTTTGGGCAAGTTCTTAATCACATAGAACCTCCCTCTGAACAAATGTAATAATACCTACCTAGGAGGTTTATTGTGGGGAAGAGTCTTATGAAAAATGCAGGTAACACAGCATAGTGCTTGGCCCATTGTAAGTGCTCAGTGAAAGATAGCTATATTAATTATGATATAATTCACTTAGTGTGTGGACAGTGCGTGTTCACTGAAGAGATGTCTCTGAAAGGTAGCTGGGAAAGGAGAGAGATGCTGGGCTCTGGTTCCATAGGTCTGAATCCTGTTTTAGCTTTGCTGCTTCCAAACTGGGTGATTGGGCCAGCCATTTAACATTTTGGGGTCTGAATTTTCCCCTGTACAAAATGGGTTGATAAATCATACCTATCTTGTAATATTCTGAGGATTACATAAAATAATGTATGAAAATACCCAGCTGGGCACTGTTGTGAGGTCCATGCCCAGTGAAGACTTGCAGCAACAGCAACACCATCCTCTGAACACTTTGAGCTCTACTTTTCTTTATTATGATTGGTCTGATAACATGTAGGTGAGCTTTGGGGGGTGTATTCGTTTGCTAGAGTTGCCATAACAAAATACCACTAGGTTGCTTAAATAACAGAAATTTGTTTTCTCACAGTTCTGCAATCTGGCAGTCTGAGATCAAGGTACCAAGTAGGGTTGTCTTTTTCTGAGACCATTTTGCTTGGCTTATAGATAGCCATCTTCACTGCTGTGTCTTCACGTATTCTTCCCTCGGTACACAGGTGTCCTCCTGCTCTTTTCTTCTTATAAGGAGATCAGTCCTATTAGATTAGGGCCCAACCTAATGTCCCCTTTTTAACTGAATTACCTCAATAAAGACCCTATTTCCAAAAATAGTCACATTCTGCAGGACAGTGGTTTGGAGTTCAGCATATGAATTTTAAGAGGCCACAATTCAGCCTATAAAAAAAGGGACAGTGTCTATGAGCTCCCCCAAATTGTACTTAGGACTTTTAATATTTTGTACGTATTAATTTGGGTGATGGGGATGTGAAGTTAGGATTAATTTCCTCTGCAACTGACAGAAAGCTTAAGATAAAAGTCTTTTATTTTATTAGATTTATTTATTTATTTGAGAGAGAATGCGTGTGCATGGGGTGGAGAGGAGGGCCAGAGGGAGAGAGAGAATTTCAAGCAGACTCCCTGCTTAGCATGGAGCCTAACATGGGGCTCGAACTCAGGACTCTGAGATCATGACCTGAGCTAAAATCAAGAGTCGGATGCTTAACCAACTGAGCCACCCAGGCACCCCAAAATAAAAGTATTTTTAAAAAATTAACAGGTTTTAGCTTTTTAGAATAGTTTTATTTTTTTCTTTTTAAGATTTTATGTATTTATTTGTCAGAGAGAGAGAGCATAAGCAGGGGCAGAGGGAGAGGGAGAAGCAGGCTCCCCGCTGAGCAGGGAGCCTGATGTGGGACTCGATCCCAGGACCCCGGGATCATGACCTGAGCCAGAGGCAGACGCTTAACTGACTGAGCCACCCAGGCGTCCCAGAATAGTTTTAGATTTACAGAAAAATTGTAAAGACAGTACAGAGTTTTCATATTACTCTCATCTCTGCACACGACTTCTCCTATTATTAACATCTTGCATTAGTATGGTATATCTGTTATAAATAATGAACCAATATTGATAATTATTATTAAAGTTCATAATTTATTCAGATTTCCTTAGTTTTTAATCTAATGTCCTTTTTCTGTTCCAAGATCCCATCCAGATTAGTTGCATTTAGTTGTCATGTGTCCTTAGGCTCCTCTTGACTCTGACAATTTCTCAGACTTTCCTTGTTTTTGACAACTTTGACCTTTTGAGGAGTGGTGGTCAGGTATATCATAGGATGCCACTCTATTGGCATTTCTCTGCTGTTATTCTCATAATTCGCTGGAGTTATGGTTTTGGGGGAGGAAGATCACAGAGGTAAAGTGCCATTTTCATCCCATCCCATCTAATTGAACGATTTACGACTATTGGTGTTGACCTTAATCATTTAGCTTATGTAGTATTTGCCTGGTTTCTCCACCAGAAAGTTACTCTTCTCCCCCTCCTTGTCATGCTATATACTCTTTGAAGGGAAGTCACTCTGTGCAGCCCACATTTAAGTTGTGGGGAATCGTGCTCCGCCTCCTTTAGGGTAGAGTAGCTACATAATTTATTTGGAATTCTTCCACACCTGAGATTTATCTCTTCTCCCCCACTTATTAACCTATTCGATCATTTATTTATATCAGGGTAGACTCAGGATATTTATTTTATACTTTGGGTTATAATTTAACACTACTTTATTTGTTGCTCAAATTCTTTCAGCTTTGGCCATTGGGAATATTTTCAGTTGACTCTTGTGTCTCTTTGACATACCCCTCATCATTGTGGGGTTTTGTTCTGCTTTAGGCACTTCCTTACTTTCTGGCACTACAAGATGCTCTGGGATCATCTTGTGTATTTTTTGTCCCATTCCCGGAATCAGCCAATTACTCAAGGAATTCTCCCTGGTTCTTTTTATTGGAAAATGATATTAGAAACCAAAATCTGGGCACTAGATATGCTTGTCGCCACTGGGGTATCATTGCTTCTAGGCCCTCTGAACTGATAGAGCAAAGAAATAACGTGTATGTATAGTAATCTGTGTATATACATATGTCTGTATTTCTATTTATAACCATCAGTGTCTATATTAAATTAAATATGAGTTCTTAATGATGCCCCTAACTTTAATCTATTACCGTCTGAATCATTCTAGCCTCCTTCCTTTGCTTATCTGTGAACCCCACACTCCAACAGTGAGAAACCTGGCTTCTGCCATCCTCCATCTATTTACTTAATTATTTAATTCCAGTATACATCTGGAATCATATCAGAATTGTTAACCTGTAACCTCATGAGAAACAATTTTGTCAACTAGAGTACAGTATTCAGTTACAATTCATTTTGCCTTTTTTGTTTTTTTTTAAGATTTTATTTATTTGTTGGAGCGAGAGCACAAGCAGGGGGAGCGGCAGGCAGAGGGAGAGGCAGGGTCCCCGCTGAACAAGGAGCCTGATGCAGGACTCGATCCCAGGACCCTGGAATCATGACCTGAGCCGAAGGCAGACGCTTAACTGAGCCACTCAGGCGTCCCTCATTTTGCCTTTGTTCTTATAGACTCTGTTTATTTCAAAAATTTCTTAGGTCAGCACCCTTCCCTCTGTCCATTGCAGTGAGGTTGCTTCATATGTTTGTAGTACACTTAGATTTGCTTGTTACAGTCTACCTTCTTTCTTTCTTGGGATTCCTTGAACTCCTAAATCGTTTTTTTTTTTTTAATTTTGCATTCCTTAAGGTTTCACTCTTTGTGTTTACAGTTCTGTGAGTTTGACATGTGTATGATATCATACATCTACCATCACAGTATCGCAGAGTAATTTCACTGCCGTTGCTTCACCTGTTGGCCCCTTCCCCTGGACCCTTTGCACCACTAATCTTTTTCCTATCTCCATAGTTTTGCCTTTTCTAGAATGTGTTATAATTGGAATTGGAATCATCCAATATGTAGCCTTTTCAGACTGGCTTCCTTCACTTAGTAATATACATTTAAGGTTCCTTTGTGTCTCTGGGGTAACTGGGTAGCTCAGTTGGTTAAGTGTCTGACTCTTGATTTCGGCTCAGGTCATAATCTCAGGGTCCTGAGATTGAGCCCTGCATCAGGCTCCACATTCAGCGAGGATTCTGCTTTAGATTCTGTCTCTCCCTCTTCCTCTGCCCCTAGCCTCCACTCCCATGTGCTCTCTCTCTCTTTCTTTCTCAAAATAAATAAACCTTAAAAAAAAAAAAAAGATTCCTCTGTGTCTCTTTTTTTGGTGGCTTGATAGCTCATTTCTTTTTATCACTGAGTAACATTCCATCGTATGGATGTACCTAGTTTGTTTATCCATTCACCTACAGAGAAACATCTTGATTGCTTCAAGTTTGTGGCAATTATGAATAAAGCTGCCATAAACATTCAGGTGTAGGTTTTGTGTAGACATTATTTTTCCTCTTAATTGGATAAATACCTAGGAGTGTGATTGCTGGATCATATGTTAAGACTGTGTTTATTTTTTTCTTTAAAGATTTTATTTATTTATTTGACAGAGAGAGAGATAGAGCAAGAACACAAGCAGGGGGAGTGGGAGAGGGAGAAGCAGGCTTCCCACTGAGTGGGACTCCATCCCAGGACCTGGGATCATGACCTGAGCTGAAGGCAGATACTTAACAACTGAGCCACCCAGGCGCCCCAAGACTGTGTTTAATTTGTAAGAAGCTGCCTGTTCTTCCAGAGTGACTATATCATTTTGCATTCCTACCAGCAATGAATGAGAGTTCCTGTTGTTCTGTGTCCTTGTCCACATTTGGTATTGTTAATTTTTTATATTTTAACTATTCTAATAGGTGTGTAGTGATATCTCGTCTATTGTTTTAATTTGCAATTCCCTAATGACATATGATGTTGAGGATCTTTCCATTTGCTTTTTTTAGTCATCTGTGTGTCTTCTTTTGAAAGATATTTGTTTAGATCATTTGTCCATTTTTCTGATGGGTTTTTTGTTTTCCTATTGTTGAGTTTTAAGAGTCTTCTGTATATTTTATCTTATTTTTTTGAGTCCTCTGTATATTTTAGATACAAGTTCTTTATCAGATATGAGTTTTGCAAATATTTTTTCCCAGTCTATGGCCTGTTTTTTCATTTTCCTAACAGTGTGTTTTGCAGAGCAGAAGTTCTAAATTTCAATAAGGTCTAGTTCACCAATTTCTTCTTTCATGGATCATGCTTTTGGCATTGTATCTAAAAGCTCATCATGTGGGGCACCTGGATGGCTGAGTCGGTTTAGTGTCCAACTCTTGATTTCTGCTCAGGTCTTGATCTCAGGGTCATGAGTTCAAGCCCCATGCTGGGCTCCATGCTGGGTGTGGAAGCTATTTAAAATAAAATAAAAAGGGCGCCTGGGTAGCTCAATTGGTTAAGCGACTGCCTTCAGCTCAGGTCATGATCCTGGAGTCCCAGGATCGAGTCCCGCATTGGGCTCCCTGCTCGGCGAGGAGACTGCTTCTCCCTCTGGCCCTCCCCCCTCTCATGTACTCTCTCTCTCTCTCTCATTCTCACTCTCAAAATAAAATAAATCTTTTAAAAAAAAGAAAAATAAAATAAAATTAAAAAAATGTGTAAAAAAAGAAAAAAAATAAAAGCTCATCACCAAACTCAAGGCCATCTAGATTTTCTCTTACATTATCTTTCTAGAAATTTTATAGTTTTATGTTTAGGTCTGTGATCTATTTTGAGTCAATTTTTATGAAAAGTGTAAGTTGTATGTCTAGATTCCGTGTGCAAACTTTATGCCATGAATGTCCAATTGTTCCATCATATTAGTTGAAGATTACCTTTTCTGCACTGAATTGCCTTTGCTCCTTTGTCAAAGATCAGTTGAATACATTTGTATGGGTCAATTTCTGGGCTCTCTATTCTGTTCTATTGGTCTGTTTTTCTTTTCTTTCACCAATACCATGTTGTCTTGATTATTGTAGCCTTATAGTAAGTCTTTAGGTCAGGTTGTGTCAGTCCTCCAATTTTGTTGTTCTTCACTATTGTGTCCGCTATTCTAGGCCTTGAGAGTTAGTTCATCAATATCCACAAAGTACTTACTGGGCTTATGATTGCACTGAATCTATAGATCAAAGTGGGAAGAATCAACATCTTAACAATATTGATTCTTCTTATCAGAGAAGTTAAGAGACAGAGAATATCTCTTAATTTATTTAGATCTTTGATTTCATTCATCATAGTTTTGTAACTTTCTTCATATAGATTCTGTGCCTATTTTGTTAGATTTAAACCTAAGTATTTCTTTTTTTGTGGGGGAGAGGGGGCACTAATGTAAATGGTATTGGGTTTTTAACTTGAAATTCCAATTGTTTATTGCTGGTATATTAGAAACCAATTGACGTTTATATGTGAACCTTGTATCCTGTAGCCTGTTGTAATCACTTACTAGTTCTAGGTTTTAAATATTTTTTGGTCAAGTCTTTGAAAGTTTTCTATATAAATCATGTGTCTGAGAACAAAGACAGTTTCATTTTTCCTTCTTAACCTGTGTATATTTTATTTCCTTTTCTTGTCCTATTTTACTAGCTAGGACTTCCATTACGATATTGAATAGGCTTGGTTAGAGGCGATATCCTTGCTTTGTTCCTGTCCTTAGTTTCTCACCATTAAATATGATGTTAGATGTAGGTTTTTTTGTAGATGGTCTTTTTCTAGTTGAGAAAGTTCCCCTTATTCCTGGTTTGCTGAGAGTTTTTGACATGAATGGGTGTTGGATTTTGCCATTGGTTTTTCCATGTAATTGATATGCTCACATAATTTTTCTTCTGTTGTCTGTTGATGTCATGGATTATATTAATTGACTTTTGAATGATGAACCAGTCTTGAATGCCTGGAGTAAGTCCCATTCAGTTGTAGTGTATAATTATTTTTATACATTGTTGAATTCAATTTGCTAATATTTTGTCGAGGATTTTTGCATTCAGTGTAAGATATATTGATCTGTAATTTTCCTTTTTTGTAATGCCTTTATCTGATTTTGGTATTAGTGTATTACTGGGCTCATAGAATGAGTTAGGATGTGTTCCCTCTGCTTCTAGTGGCTAGATGAAATTGTAAAAAATTGGTATCATAATTAACTTTAATGGTAGAATTCACCATTGAAACCATCTGGGCCTGGTGCTTTCTTTTTTTGAAGGCTACTAATTATTGATTCAGTTTCTTTAATAGATGCAGGCCTATTCAAATTATTTTGTTTTTCTTGTGTGAATCTCGGTAATTTGTGTCTTTTAAGGAATTGGTCCATTTTATTTAAGTTATCAAATATGTGGGTATAATGTATTCATAATATTCCTTTATTACTCTTTTGTTCATAGTATCAATAGCGATCCCTCTTCCATTTATGATATTAGTAATTTATATCTTCTCTCTTTTTTCCTTAATTTACCTAGAAGCTTATCAATTTTAGTAATCATTTCAAAGCACCAGTTTTTGGTTTCATTGATTTTCTCCATTGATTTCAACTTCATTGATTTCTGCTCTAATTTTTGTTATTGCTTTTCTTCTGCTTGTTTTAAGCTTAAATTGCTCTTCTTCCTCTAGCTTCTGAAGGCAGAAGCTTATTAAGATAGTTGACTTTATATCTTTCCTCTTTTCTTTTTTATTTTTAAAGATTTTATTTATTTGACAGAGAGAGACACAGCGAGAGAGGGAACACAAGCTCGGAGAGTGAGAGAGGGAGAAGCAGGCCTCCCACCTAGCAGGGAGCCCGATGCGGGGCTCGAACCCAGGACCCTGGGATCATGACCTGAGCTGAAGGCAGACGCTCAACGACGGAGCCACCCAGGCGCCCCAGGAAGCAGTCACTCTTACCATTAAATCTCATTCTTGAAGTCCCCTGAGCTTGTGGCTGAGGCTGTGACCTTCAGAAGCTTTTATAGGTGAGACTGGAAGGCTAGAGGGGGCTAGAGTTGGCTAACCATCCTTTACCCAGGTTGGAGAAGGCTCTGGCAAAATCTTTTCTCTTGAGCATCCTTTGTTGTGGTTAATGCACTGGGTATATTTTTAGTTACTTTTCCTCTCCCCTGAAAATAGGAGGGGATTTTTCTTGAATCTTCACTGCGAGAACCAGTGTGTGTTTCTTGGCAGTAAAACCCATGAAAGTGTGGTAACCCCCATAAGACTGGGCCCCCAGAAGTTTCTTCCTGTCAAGCTAGTCCATGCTCATCCTTTAGCAATTTGTAAGAGTTACTGCTTAAGTGCTTCTACTGGTTTATGGCTCTGGCATCTGCTTAAGGTGACATGATCTTGGCTGTGATTCTCTCAGTCTGCCTGTCTCTCTAGTTTTTGGGGTGCTGGTTTGCCCTGTCACCTTAATTCTCTCATGGATCTAATTAAACTTGTTGATTTATAGTTTGTTCAGCTCAGCTTTTTTCTTCTTATGACTTCCAGGGTCTTTACATGTCAGAAGGGAAACCAGAAGTCAACGATGGCTTTAAAAAAAGGGAGTTTATTGTCTTTTACACAAATGTAGCCAACCCAAGGCAGCTATGGCAGTTCTGTGACCATAGGGCACCTAGGATCCTTTTATCTTATCACTTTGCCATTCTCAACCCGTAGCTGCCATCTTATGTTCGGAAGTGGCTTCTCCATCTCTAGCCGTCAAGTGCTATTCCAGCCATTCTGCAGGAAAGAGGAAGCGGGGGAGAGGAGAGTAGGGCACAGTCATTTTCTTTAAGACACGCTTGTTATTTAAGGATGCTTCCTGGAAGTTGCTCTCATCATTTCTGATTACATCTAAACGATGAGACCCTAAGTTTACACGGCTACATGGAGGTAGAGAGAGATGTAGCTTTAACTTGGATATGTCACTGAAGAATGGAAATTGGCCATTAGTAGTCTCTACTCCACACTCTACTCCACAACAGTGTTCCAAGGCTTTCCTCAGATTCTCAGAGGTGTCTATGTATGATACAGAGTAGCTTAAGAAACTCTGCTCTATAAAATTGCTGTGAGAGTAGGGGGCCACAGCCTATCAGCTGACACTGAAACCAACATACCTAGAATATTTAGCCTAAGCAGAATCCCATTCAATATGCTCACCTTTCCTGAAGGCTTGCATTGGGCTGATAATAAATTACTCCCTACCTACCTTCGAAACATGACTTCTCTCTCGGCAGCTTACCCAGTCAGCAGCTTGTTTCCGGAGCAAGCCATGGTGAAAGAAAATGAAGAACAACTTATTTTGTGTATGGCAAGTGGGTTCTACCCCACGAACATTACTGTAACATGGAAAAAGTGGACTCAGAAGGATCCCCAGTATGTGGAGTTTTCTGAGGGCGTCTTCACTAATTATACCACCAAAAATGAGGACGGCATGTTTAATGTCTCTAGCTTCTTGATGCTAAAGCCCTCTCTGGAAGACAATATGACCGTCTACCAGTGTGTGGTATGGCACGAATCCTTGCCTACCCCCCAGAGGCTCAACTTCTCCTTGACTCTGATAGGTAAGCAGCCTCCTGAACATTTCCCCTGCTCTTTACCTTAAGGTTGGGTAACGTAAAACTTTGGTTTCCAGGCAGTCTCGGGGAAGACGGGACAGTGGGGAAGATAGAAAGCTTGGTCTGGCGTAGCTCAGCCCCAGAGTCAGCAGTCCGGACTAGGTATCTAAGCCAGGGCAGGTGGTCTAGTTGGTGGAGAGTGGTGACAATAGTCCTCAGATGGAAATAGGTCTACTTTTGGCAGTTTAAGTGATCTGGGTGGTCTACATGGCTTGAAGTGTGAAGCTTCCTAGCTACAAGGAGAGAGTGGACAGGATCCTGTCCACTCTGAAGATAAGAGTCTGTCAGGGGCCAGTGACCCAGCCCTGCCAGTAACTCTTCTGCTCGGGCCCCAGGTCCACTGCAAACTGTTGGCTGGTAGAGGCTGAATCCGTTGTTCTGTCTTATGGGTTGTACCCAAGATGGGGACGCCGTAGCAGGGTGATCTTGCAGATGCCCAGGACTTTCCCTAGGGACATGGGATGCTTAGCTCAAGATCTACAGGTCACCATAGAATCCCTCCTGCTGGTGAGATGAGGTTCATGGAGCTCATACCTGGGTTCCCATGGTCATGGCTATGGTCCTGGATGGGTATGACCCTGCTAGTCTAATGCATCTGCCTGGAGCTAAGAGGGGTTAAAAAAGGCAGGGTCTGACCACAGGCCCTGGGGGATGTGGTCTGGGTATCCAGGATGGTCCTGGAAGGAGAGAAGAATTGTTCTTGGAAGTAAGGGCTAGGAATGTGTGTGGGTGGTGTGAGAAGAGATGGGTACAGAGTATGTGTAGGGCATGGGGAGTATGAAATTGAAATATGCTTTGTGTGTATAGTATGAGGGATTTGTCTGGGTTATATGTATGTTTTAGTCCATTCAGGCTGCTATAACAATTTGCTACAGATTGGGTGGCTTAAAAACAACAGAACTTTATCTTTCACAGTTTCGGAGGTGAACGTTTGTGATCATTGTGCCAGCATGGTTGGGTGAGGACCCTCTTCTGGGTTGCAGACTTCTTACTGTATCCTCACATGGTAGAAGGGATGAGGGATCGCTCTAGGGCCTAAGGGCACTAAATCCATTCACGAGGGCCTCCACCCTCCTGACTTAATCACCTCTCCCAACCCTACCTCCTAATACCATCACAGTGGGCACTAGAATTTCAGTATATGAATTTTTGAGGGGCACACACGTTCACTCTATAGCAGTAAGATGGTGTAGTAGTTTGGAAGCTTTACACGTTGCATGGCATGTGTGTGCTCTGTGGTGTTTGATATTGTGGTGTATTCTGGCAAGTGCTAAACACGCTGTTTGATGGGTGAGGTGTATGTGATAGGAATGGAGGATGCCAAGATGGTCACGGGGACAGGGAAGATGACGTACAACCACAGATCCTAGCAGTGGTTGTATGGTCTCTGGCTCTGGCCAGGAGGTTTCTTCTTAATGTTCTTTTTTTCTTTCTTTCTGCAGAATCTGAGAAGTCACCTTGTACTCTGAAGTATGTTTTTCTCTGTGCTGGAATAATCTTCGTAGTCGTACTGATTTTATCTATTTTTTGGAAACAGGTAAGTGGCTCCAAAGCAAAGTTTAGCCCTGTGTTTTGGAGTTGGTTTTGGGAGTTCAGGGATTATGGCCAGTGGACACTGTTAAGGAGTTCTTAGGATTGATATGGGGGTATTCTAAGTGTGGTGTGTGTTTGTGGTGGGTGGCTTTTTCTTTTTTAAAGATTTTTTTTTATTTATTTGACACAGAGCGATAGAGATAGAAAGAGAGAGAACACAAGCGAGGGGAGTGGAGAGGAAGAAGCAGACTCCCCGCTGAGCAAGGAGCCCGATGCAGGGCTTGATCCCAGGACACTGGGATCATGACCTGAGCCGAAGGCAGACACCTAACCAACTGAGCCACCCAGGCGTCCTGGTGTGTGTGTGTGTGGCTTTTTCTGATGTTCCATTGATGAACTTTCTTTTCTGATCTCCATGTGGTGGTTTATGACTCTGGGGAGATACAGCATAAAGCCCCTCTGCCTCTTCATAATATACCAGTTTCACTGTATCAAACCTGACCTTTTTGATTCAGACCAGGTTTTGAACCATATATGGGCTGCACTGTTATTCTCACACATAGAAACAGTGCCTCAGAGGTAAGAATTCCTTTTCCCAGGTGCTCATATTTTGCTAATAGCTTAATGGGGTACTTATCACCAGATTTCATTGGTTTAACCAGGGATTTCTAACCCTCCCTAGGGTGTTTCCAAACTAAAACATGTTTTCTAACATGTTTATCCCTGATTATGCCCCAAATAGCAAATAAAACAACTCAGACTGTAGAGGCGCAAGAGACCAGTGTAAACATGTTGGTTAAAATGGTTCTATATAATAAAATTGCCTTCAGTTATTTATGGACCTGCCAAGGCAGAATTTGTGCAATAGCTAATACATCTCATAAATGCCTTAGGAAAAGTACAATAATCAGTTAATTAAGAAAAAAAGCTATTTGTTCATCTAAAATTTGCTGACTGATTCATGGGATTTATTCTTCTGATGGGACCTAGGCCAGTGACACAATTAGATATAAAGTGGTTTTCAAATGTTTCTTGTGATACTTGTGAATGTTCTATTTCTTGCCTTCCTCTGGCTTCTGATAATCTAGGTGCTATCATGATAACCTCACATTTGCCAGTGATATTTATTAAAAAAGAGACTTTAGGGGCGCCTGGGTGGCTCAGTTGGTTAAGCGACTGCCTTCGGCTCAGGTCATGATCCTGGAGTCCCAGGATCGAGTCCCGCATCGGACTCCCTGCTCAGCGGGGAGTCTGCTTCTCCCTCTGACCTTCCCCCGTCTCATGTACTCTCTCTCTCTCAGTCTCTCTCTCAAATAAATAAATAAAATCTTTAAAAAAAATAAAAAATAAAATAAAAAAGAGACTTTAGCCTGGATTCTGTGGTGGTTTGCAGTTTTGGCTTCAAGCCTTTACCCTTCCTCATATCCATGTACTTTGCCATGTAATTTTGTAGTGTCCTCCAATGATGGGCTGCCCCTTAACATTGGGCTCAACCTTGTGACTTGCTTTGGTCGGTAGAATGAGGCCAAAGTGAAGGAGTGCCAGTTCTAAATCTAGGCTTTGCTTTCTTTGGTGCTTCTGATATTAGTAAGAGGAGGATGCATCCAAGTGAGTCTGTTGGGGGCCAAGGGACACTGGAAGTTAGAGCTAGTTGTGCTAGTAGAGGCCAGTCTAGCTCAGATGATGGCCCACAACTCCCACTCAACAGAGCCAACTCTGAAATGCATGAGAAATACATCTTTTTTTTTTTCAAAGCCACTGTGTTTTAGGCTGGATTTTACACAGCAAAAGCTAACCGATACAACTCCTCAAGAAGTTGAGTTTGACTAGCAAGTGTGGTTGCTATGGGGATGTGCTGCTGAGACCTCTTAGAGAGAGCCTGCTATGGAGGGTACTCAGCCAACATGCTCCAGCTGTGGCCTATCAGGGACCTGCTTCAGTATACAAGCCTGTGCCATGCTTTCCCTGGGCAGCACCAGAAAAGAGTTGAGAAATGCAGGAGTCTTTGTAGCTCCCCGGAGACTTTCTCAGATTTGCATTGTAGTCTGGGGCTCTTGCTACCCAATCCTCCCTTCTTCCTCCCTTTACAGATATTACACCTGCACCACAGCCTAAAGGCTCTGCCTACATACTCATGTGCCCTCTCTCCTTTATCTTTTACAGGTACTACATCAAACAAATACCTTATTCTCCATCTTGAAAGCTTATTCTCGGAATACCCAGATTGACACAAGAGAGACTGAAGAACTATAATGAGGTGCTTTCATTATGATGCATTCATGGCTTATTCTGATGGGGGAACCACTAGAAGAAAATCGGAAGTTCTTACCCAGAAACAGCAGAGACAACAAGGTCTCTCAGTGAATGCGTCTGTAACTGAAATTACTTTTCCCGGTGGCTTAGATGGCTTGCTCAAGAGCAGACTGTTCAAGCTGCCTTCTTTGATAGCCTCCTGCCAATTGGCTTATCCAAGAAAAAAAAAGCAACACTTTCCAAAGAAGACATACAGATGGCCAACAGACACATGAAAAAGGTGCTCAACATCACTCATCATCAGGGAAATCAAAACCACAATGACATATTACCTCACATCTGTCAGAATGGCTAGTATCAAAAAGACACGAAGCAACAGGTATTGGCAAGGATGTGGAGAAAAGGGAACCCTAGTGCACTATATTGATGGGAATGTAAATTGCTAGTAGCCACTATGGAAAACAGAATGGAAGTTCCTCAAAAAATTAAAAATAGAACTACCGTGTGATCCAGTAATTTGACTTCTGGGTATTTACCTGAAAAATATGAAAACACTAACTCTAAAAGATATAGATACCCCTATGTTCACTGAAGCATTATTTACAATAACCAAGGTATGAAAACAAGTGTCCGTTGATGGATGGATAAAGAAAATGTGAGACTGTGTGATAAAGAAAATATATAATGAAATGTGTGTGTGTGTGTGTATATATATATATATATATGAATGGAATTTTATTCATCCATTAAAAAAAGAATGAAACCTTGTCATTTGCACCAACACAGAGGGACCTTGAGGATATAATGCTAAATGAAGTAAGTCAGAGTAAGACAAATACCATATGATCTCACATGTGGAATCTAAAAACAAAAACAAAAACCCAAGCTCGTAGATAACAGCACAATGGTGGGTGCCAAGGGCGGAGTGGGGTGGATGAAATGGGTGAAGGTGGTCAAAAGGTACAAACTTCTGGTTATAAAATAAATTATGGGGATGTAATGTACACCATGGTGCTTATAGTTAATAATGCTATAATGCATATTTGAAAGTTACTAAGAATAAATCTTAAAAATGTTTAGAAAAACTTTTAAGAAAAGAATATTTTTGTAACTATGTATAGTGACAGATGTTAACTAGACTTATTGTGGTGATATTTTGCAATATATACAACTACTGGATCATGTTGTACACCTGAAACTGATATACTGTATGTCAATTATACACCTCCCCCAAAAGTAACACTTACTGTTTCTAGACTGGCCTGTTTCCATTTCAAATTCTACTTCTTAGTTCGATGAGATCCACCTATACATGCTAATATAAGAATAAAAGTATGCGAAAAAAAAAAAAGAATAAAAGTATGCGGGTGCACTTTTAATATCTCTGAGTTATTCTTTGAGAGGAGATAAGTGACTTGTCTAGGGTCTCATGGCTCGTAAAGAGTAGAGCTTGGATTTTTAACCAATATGCCATACTACCAAGGAAGATCCAGGGTGGGGCTGGGGTGTGAAGGATGAGCTGGATCATTAGGTCTAGAGGAGAGGCTCACTCTATACTGTTCTTGTCTGTTCTTAGGGGAGGACCTGTTGGTTGGTGTGTTTGACCATTGCCTCATTTTCTGTAACTGAACCAAGGTGGCTGATGCTATTCCTAAGTGGACCTGTGTGCAGGCACCGCATTCAGGACAGGCTGACAGGGCTGTGGGGAGTGTCATGCCAGGTGTTAGTCATGGGTAAGATATAGTGTGGTTCTGAATGTAGTTCTCAAGGGATGTGCAGTTGTATTTCAGGATCTTTGTGGGGCAGAGAAGCCCTGTTCACATCTCTACTGAAAGTTGAAGTAATGACCCTGAAAACAGTTTTTAGGTCACTCAGCGGCAAGGGGGGCTCAGTGAGTTCATTCATGGGCATAACTAACATGGAAGACTCTTGGCTTAAAGAGAGGACTCCCCATAGCTGAGCTCCCACCTGAGGGTGGGTTAGAGTGGCCTCTAGTGGCGCCACTGGGGATTGCAGCATCAGTTTACTTGGTGCCTATTTCAAGAATATATCATATCATTAGAGGAGACAAGGAATCTCATAAAGTGGAGATCTGGAAGGAAGAACAGGGCAACAGAACTGTGAAACAAATGAGGTAGTTCAAAGCTGCCTACAGTCATTGAAAGAGATTCAAAAAGAATGACACCCCTTGAACAAGGAGTAAGACAGTCGAGATTTTAAAAGAAATTATAATAATTTTGTAGAGATTATAATAGAGTAATAAAGTAATATAAGGGAGAAATAAAATTAGGTGGGAAAATGACAAATGGGATCTTTTTATAGGAAGGTAAAACATTAGATGTAAAATGTGGGGGATTGTAGAATGGACATTATTGATTGTAAAGGAATCTATGATGTGGAAAAAAGAAAGTGCATTAAGGAGTTACTAAGCTCAGAAATGAGTATGCTGGTCAGACCTTCAGAGACCAAAAGGGGCACAAAAGAGGCAGAGCTATAGGATGATTTTCATTCTACTTCCAAGTTGGATGGGAGATCAAGGACAGTAGGAATTTGACAACCAGTGAAAGTCTCGGTCAGAACTGTATTGCATTTACTTCTCTTGGGAGTAACTTCTCTTCCCCAACAATGATGGCATCGTGAGAAAAACTGGAATTGATCAAATGAAGCAAAGAATACACAGAGGCAGGGCTACCTGGTCTGTTTACTTCACCTTGAATGCCGACGGTCTGGGGAGGAGGAGTTTGGGACATACTGTGCCGCAAAAAATGGTAGTTTCATGAAGTAGAGGCGTGTGACTCATGAGAGCTGAAGAGGGCTTTGTGTGCTGTTGACCCGTTGTTTCTCCCAGTGAAGGAAATAAATTACATAGTTGCATAGTACTTTGAATCACCTGTTCCGCTCATTGGCATCAGTGCCCAGAAGGACACAAGGTCAAGGGAAAGGCAGAAGTCTGCACTCCTTGTACGCAAGCTGGCCAGTTTAGGTAGCCTACCTTTCATATCAATCCAGAGTGGGGCCTTCCCAGAGTGGAAATAGGGGAGGGTGTAGGTAGCACCTTCTTCCCTTTCCATGAAGGTATATACAATGCCCCAGGCAGGTGGACATGGCAGAGAGGATGCCAGTAATCTTGATTCTAGTGCAACAAATCCACGCTCTAGAACCCAATTCTGACTTTAACCCCATCACTCTGCCTTTTCCGAGCTCCTTTCAAGCTGGAACAGATCTGTTGTGCTTTAGACCTGCCCTGATCTCGGGTCAACATGACTTTGACATGCAGAATTTGTGTCTTCATACAACACAGGGTGTCTGATACCTGAAACTGGGGAGACCTCAGAGGTGAGCCCAGAGAGCTGTGGGGAGCCAGGGGCTACTTGACTCCTCACCACAAGCTCCCTAGGGAAGGATGTTGGGGAGGATCTCAAGTTTAGGACAGAGCTGGAAGGATGCCACCTGGGCAGAGAAAGTGGGTCTTGTAGAAGCTGGGTGTGTCCTCTCCAGGAGAAAGGCCAGAGGGCCACCTTCATGGGTAACATGTGGGCCTTGCAGTAACTGGCTGGAGATGCCAAATTCATAGGCGTCAGACCTATGGTTTCCAGTATGGCTAGTGGGCTAGTTTTTCCAGACTAGAAATTCCGTTTCACTAGAAATTCAGGAAGATGGTGGCTTGGCTTCCCTTCCTTGTTGAGTTCAGCAGCTCCCTCCATGCCTGGAACTTTCTAGCTCCTCCCCGACCTAAGCCTTAAGGCTAGGAGGTCTCTTAGTGGAAAGACTGGGACCAGTGGTCCTGATTTTCTGATGAAGTAGGTCTTCTCTGTGGCCAGCAGGTGGCGCTGAGCCCTCAGTTCTGTCGGTTCACTGTCCCCAGCCATGTAACATGGAGGGGGAGGAGGAAGGTTACTTTGGATGGGGTCCCAAGAATGGTGCTGCTGAGCAGCTTCTCATTAACGAGTCTGGCCCCTCTCCTGGTCTTAAGGACAGCCAAGCTGAGTCCCAGGAGCCAGGCACTGTCCCCAGAAATCTGGGCTGACTCTGAGTAGCTTCTCATCCCTCTTCTTCTAAACCACAAACTGCTCAATGTTGGGGGGCTGTGTGGGTGCAGGAAGGGGCAGCTTAGAGCTTGAACCAGCAACAGCAGCTTCCTGGCTCTTCAAACCTACCTCTGGAGTAGCCCAGGACAAACTCTTACTGATCCAGCTAAAGCCCACTGCAAGCCTCCAACAGCAATAGTGATGCTGGCTTGGTGTCCTGTACAATATTCATCATTCATTCATTCACTTAGCACTTACTTAGTGCCAGACACAATGCTGAATCAGATACAGTCCCTGACCTCAAGGAGCCACAGACTTGGGGATGTCACAATCTTGTTCGTGAAAGGAAGAGTCAATTATGTGGTAAATTTCATTGTCTAATTTACAAAGATTGCCACGGCCCCCCCTCAACCTCCAGCAACCACCACCCTGACCAGTCAGCAGCCATCAACATCGAGACAAGACCCTCCAGCAAAAAGATTATGACTCACTGAAAGCTCAGATGATGATTAGCACTTTTTAGCAATAAAATATTTTTTTAATTAAGGTATGTACATTGTTTTTTTAGACATAATGCTATTGCACACTTAACAGACTACAGTATAGTGTAAACAACTTTTATATGCGGTAGGAAACCAAAAAAAAATTCATTTGACTCTCTTTATCGTGATATTTGTTTTGTTGCGGTGGTCTGGAACCAAACCTGCAATATCTCTGTACACTAATGTGTATGATGGCCCCACCTCTTCCCTGACCACCCCAGCCTTCCAGCAGATCCCCGGGAGTGGAGGCCAGGCCCAGGGCTATAAGCCTGGTAGGTGCCCCAAAATTGAGATGGCCAGACAGGCTGGCAGGGCTGGGCTACTCGAGACAAAAAGGTAAAAGTCTCTCTCAACTGGGTGATAAGGGTCAGCCCTAGGTCCTTTTCCTGGCCGCCCGGCTAGGATCTGTGGTACCTTTGGAATGCGGGTGGGCAGCTGCCAGCCCCCTCCCTGCCCAGGTACACAGCACTGCTCCAGGAGCCCCGCCTGAGGTCAAGCCTGTGAGGACCAAGGGCCTCTTTGCGTCAGGGGCCTTGCTCACCCTCACCATCCTGAGCTTTCCAACACCTCCTTTTCTAGAGACCCAAAGACCCTCCACTGCCCTCCTCTGGACAGACAGTGAGTGAGAACCATTGGTGGGGAGCCAGCATTCAATCTGTGTGGTAGGCCCAGGACCCCCTCTCTGCAGCCCCTGTCTGCTTGGCACGC